GTGAACATTTTGATGATTTTTTTTTTCTACAAGTTCACCAGACACCCGCAAGGACAGAACCTTTTGGTTACTGCCGTGAAAGGGGAAATAAAAGAAAGACAAGTGAATGGGCACAAATAACGCATGAGAACATGCCCTCTAGAAAAGTCAACGGCAGATACGTTTGAACTGTGGGAAACTTGCGATGCTCGCCAAAACTGAATGTGACGAGCTAAGGTATTGGTATGAATAAATCCACTAATGTAGGAACTTAGCGCCCCAGCTTGCACTCTTGTCGAAGAAATCACTCAAGTGAAATGTAAGCGATCTGAGAGGATTCGGGCTTTGTCGGTTTGCGCGTGGTCCCATTTCATGCAGGTTGTCTGCTTCCCTTCCTCTTCGATGCTGTATGTCAATATATATACGCTGCATTGCCAAGCAACATTTAGGCTAATCACGTGTTATAGAAAAGAGGACGTTGTTGCAGCCGACTATCAATGAAGATCTTGACTTGTGCAAAACTACTGAAGAATGTTCTACGTACAGCAGCCCTGCGTTTTAAGCTGTACACTTGAATGCTGTACGCTGAATGCCATAAATGGATTACACAAACAAAAATCAAAATAGAGGGGTGGCAGGCTGTTTTGGAAAAAATATAGGATGTGATTGGCAATAGTCCTCAGTGACGAGGATGAAGAAACTTCCGATTTTGTGGACATCTTCGGAAATTCGGGTACTTTTACGGCTCCGCCACGAGCAGTGTTAGCCTGCACGCTTTGCTTGTTAACAATGGACGTGTTTTCGCTTCTGCGTGCTTTCTACCGAAAGTGAGGTTATTATTGTTGCTAGCCAAATCCAAAAACCTTGCACGGGTTTATAAACGATGTAGTATTGCATGCTCGTTGCGGTATTTTATAGCTGGAACACTTCTTTTGTAAATATAACCACTCCCCTCTGTAATGTCTATTTACCCTGAGGGTAAGTAAATCAGTAAATAAATAAAGATGTGAGAGATGATAGAATGGCGATTAATGAACAACCAAACTGTGAAAATGCCTTGAAAAAGAAGCTGTCTGTACAGCGTATATAACTGAGCTTGAAATCGCCAACTCTGTCTCATAATGTTTGTGAGGCGTCATCGAAACGATCGCGTTACAAAGTGGTAATATACGTTCGTTGTCAAGCTCTCATGGCCTGTGTACAAAACAATTCACATTTCATATTTGATTAGCGCTCTCTTGAAAGTAATGCTCATGTGTAAAACTTTTGCGCTTTCTTTTCCTTCTTGCATTCGCCGTTACGTACTTGGTAAATAGTTTCGTTGTAGATAGAAAGCCGCTCTTAGACACATTGCGCAATGCTTGTCAACTGATAAATCAATTCGCTTGACTTCGTATCACTTATTCAGTGTACGAGGTGCAAGAACAGCTAGTAAATTTCTTGAAAAATTTATCGGAGCTACGTGTGGTGAATGCCTTTTAAACAGACGTTCATGAATTTTTCATAACATCTTGAGTATACTTTAGAACAAGCAGTTGGAGGGACCCACAATTGGCTATAACGTGTGATTTGGCCATGGTTGAAATGAAATCTCCACAAACTGTAGTGACAGATTCGAGCATTCTTTTCGTGTTCTGAGAACAGAACTTGTATTTTCGGATTGTTTGTAAAGGTAACGAAAACCAGCATGACACGCAGCCTAGTGGAACAGCCTTGAACCTTGTAGTCGATCACTTTGCTGTACGCAGTGACGTAGTATGGTGTTGTCATGCATTAGTCCTCCAAATTAGAGTACGTCTGATATTAGCCATTCACCTTTCTTTTGTGGGCTGCTTGCGAGCTAGAGTTGCACGGTGAGCAGCAGCGGTGTACCCAAGGTATATATAGACCGGTAGCGACGGCTTTATATAGAAGAAGCCCAAACGTTCAGAAAATGGCGGCTGACCAGCTGTTCATGGGGCTCAGCGCCATCTGTGTGAGCAGAGAACACTACCGGCGGAACAAAAAAAAATAAAGCGGAAGTGACGCAATAGCTAATAAACAAGTGACGTCATTTTGTGTGCACTAGCGCGGAACTTGATTTCAAATCACTTCTCATAGGACCCTGATCGCTAACGACTCGCGCTAAGGCGATCGCTGGTGAATCATCTACGAGTGCGCTTCAAGTCAACGCTAGCTGATCTAATACGGACTCATGAATATACAGTGATGTTTAAGTGTACTGCCGTTCATTTTGCCTCAGTTTTGTAAAAAAGCATATTCGAACTTTTGTTCGCCGTTCCGGGTATGTTCCACCGATAGATTAAGACAACCAACAGCATATGTCACATCTGCAGCGTGGCTTAATTTTTTCACAGTTACGGAGGTTCTTTCATGCACAATGCTTGTGATTTCCTGTTTTATCAGGAAGGAATGACGTCTATAGTCACGCCAAAATGATGACATTTTAGTTTTATTCAACGGTCTAATAACTCAAACTTAATACACCGCACAAGCTAGTAATAAGAACAAAAAGATCTGCGGACACGCCCAGCGTTATGTTTTTTTTTTGTTTTCTTGCTTTATGTTCAGATAAATTACCGCTACGTATGCGAATGAAGACACAAGAACTGTACCTTGATAGATATCCCGGCAATCTGCGCACCGATAACTCGAATTGTAGGCACTGCATGCTCACGAAGGAAACCGGGCTGCAGGAATATTGATGGATGAAAGTGTAGCGAGCAGTGCATTCGGAACCGTTGTCCTTGTCTTTATCTAGAAGACATGGGCCACCAGGCACACGTTTGTTGCCACTGCTTCCTTGCACAGCACATCGTTTCCGCAGCTACCGACGAAAGCACACGGCGTTAAAATGTGATCCGCATCGTTCCGCTGCCCGTCGGACACGGCACTGAAGACGTTCACCAACGATAAAACGCACCTAACGATTTCGCGCGCAACAGAGAACACAAGCAAGCGCAGAGCACTAAAACACGTGTGGGCGTGTGTCTTCGCAGGTGAATTTTATGAGCGGGCCTTGTCATGTATACCCATGCAGTGCAACGGAGTAATAATAGCGTCTGGAGAGGGCGCTAGAAAAAAGATTTTTCGTAATAATAAAAACTGCCCTATTTTTTGTTTAATACAGCTACGTAATAATGTTAGAAAACAGAAATCTCATTTGTAAAACCTATTGATTGCTTCGACTTTGAATCAAATTTGGTTTTCCCCATTAGTGTCTGTTCTCTCCACACGTAGTCACACTTCAATTGCAGCACCCATAACTCCCCATGCTGATGTCGCAGGCAATAGCACCAGAACTGCTTTTCTCCTTCGCGACATATTTAAATAGACCTTGGTGTACCTTCGTGTGTTGGCGCACACATGCGCCGTAAATCGCCGTGCTCAAACACGAATTTCTCTCACGCTCTCTGCTCACACTGCAGCATGTGTTGTCACGTGCATTTACGACTTCATGTTTGCAGCTGTTAGAAAAAAATTGTGTTGACAAATGTTTGTCATCGTTTTCCACTTTACCGTTCCGTGTTTAAACACTCTGATCAGTAAAATTCCCGCTGCGCTAGAAAAAATAGGTACCATAAAAAATGGTTGTCAGTCTCTTTAATATAGAGCTCATAAATTAGTCAAAGACGGAAAGTAATTTCAGCTGATGGAACACGTAACTTGATCCGCATGTTGCATGCGCCACTTGGTCTACACTTAACGCCGACGTTATCAAATCTACGTGCATCCGTTAACCTTGACGCTTCTTTGAAAAGTAAAATTCCTTTAGAAATTGAGCCGCTTTATTTGTCGTAGTTCACAAGTTTCGGTAGAGCCTTACACAAAAGACCTGATGCTGGCGCATGTAATAAAATAAGGCGATGCAGGGCGTGCCGGTTACAGCCGTATTTTTGTGCGCCGTTTTTTTTTTAATCGGTGTTCTCTCAACAGTTAGCTTGTCGGCGATCAGCCCTTTCTGATGTGGCACTCTCCCCCGGCCACGGTGGTCTAGTGGCTAAGGTACTCGGCTGCTGACCCGCAAGTCGCGGAATCGAATCCCGGCTGCGACGACTGCATTTTCGATGGAGGCGGAAATGTTGTAGGCCCGTGTGCTCAGATTTGGGTGCACGTTAAAGAACCCCGGATGGTCGAAATTTCCGGAGCCCTCCACACCGGCGTCTCTCATAATCATATGGTGGTTTCGGGACGTTAAACCCCACATATCAATCATATCAATCATGGATATGGAGCACACTTGTTGTCTTATTCAATGTTGCAGCCTTGAATAAGACAGGGTAGATTTCATCCCCTCCTACATTTCATCCCGTTTGGATCATGGTTTAAAAGTTGGTGTGCCATCTAGTCGAACTAATCTTTATTATGACTCTTTCATTCCACGAACAAGCAGGGACTGGAACCACCTTCCCGCCGCCATCGCCTCCATCACAGATGTAAATAACTTCAAGGTCATCACCCACCAAGAAGTGCTTTGAATGTATTGTTGCGCGTTTTAGTTATGAAACCCCACTCCTTTCTGTAATGCCCTCGGGCCCTGAAAGTAAATAAATGAAATGAAATGAAATTCAGTGGCTGCACGCCGTGTTGAAAAATATTTCGTTTCTTCGTGACACTTGGACTGTATCACAAATATACTGACAATGCTGATGCTTGTAGAACTTCTCCTGATTTGCCATTTTGTCAACATGGAAGACGGATTTATATGTTTTTATGTTCGGTACTTCTGGGCCATCTCCGGTTTTTCATTACCTCCGAGCCAGAGCTCATGATCTAATGACATAGCTAGGGTTTTGTGAGTTGCACGGATTTCGGCAATGTCGTAGGCCCAGTTATACGAGATAGATATTGTCTATTACCTTGACTTACGTAGTCTGATGTGGAAATAAATAAAATATTTTATGCTTGCCGCCATATGAAACGTAGAGTTCGTAGTTAGGGAAAATCGAGCAGCTAACAAAACAAGAAACTAGCGCATGTATGTTTATTGATTCGTACTGTTTCGTGTTTTCCGTTTGTAGGAAGGCCCTCCCGAAACGCTGGCGTTAGCCCTTGACGGCAATCTAAATAGCTATCTTGCGTACGCTTTCGAGGAGGTGAGTCGAATTGGCCGGAGCCTTCTTCTTATTTTCATCTCTTTTTTTTTCATTTGAAAACTATGCCGCTATTGCGGCTCCACAGCGGTCAAGCTGTGATGAGAGGCCTGTAAAGCGAGTCAGTAAAAAATTGTGTTCGCCGACGTTGCTAATTTTATATTTTATGTCTGGAACAAATGTTGACTGATTGTGTTCATTGCTTAAGAGGCAAACATAATTGTAGGAGCATATTTGCGGCTGCAAAAAGATCATAGAGTCTTTGGATGCTGCTTTGTAGATGTATTCACCCACGTGTTTAGGAGCAAGTGAAATGGTGTGATAAAAATCATAAAACTGTTGAATTCCCTTAGCTAACAGAATCGAAGACCGAAATCTACCTTATTACAAATGACCAGAAAAATCAATTGCAAGAAAGTGATTGCTGATGAAGTATAGTTGCAATAATGTTGCACTGTTATGGCGCCCAACCATCTGTAACCGTTCAGGAAATTTCTTTTAAAAGTTTTTGCTTGTCGACTCGCTTGTACTAGAGTAACATTGTCCTACTACAAAATAGGCTTAATAAGAAGATTGGCCAACAGGGTGAATTGACTGATCAATGCTGCATATTTGGTTGCAGTTAGCGCGTTCATGTTTTCTTGCGCGATTACTTGGAGTAGGCAGTCGCTGACACAGTAAGACGTGCCTCTCTGCAGATCTCTTTTGAGCCGTGCCCAACACGACGATGTTGATGGAGCTTCGCGGGAAAACCTTGAGAAAATATATAGTAGTAATAATACCAATTGCGACTACATATTTCATGTCTTACTTCATTCTCATTATTTCCACAAATTAACAAAGTATTACGTCCTGGACATGATAAAGTATGACATATAGTGACTCAATCAGTAAATGCAGCCTTCAAACTATAGGACGTTAAGTTAGAAAGCGAGCAGAACAATAAATGTAACCACGTTCATGGCACTTCGTTGGTGAGATCTGATTCGAAGCTGCCGCGGCCGAACGCAATTTGGTTTTCGTACAAGGGGCTCGTTGTAGAGCCACGCACATAAGGTTGCATGTGCTCTTAACGTCAGAACCCGTAGTGACAACTGGTGTCCAGTCTGTCAACTTATTTGATTATGATAGGGTGCTCTTTGCTTTTTTTTAAGTGTAAACCTTGTAATATATCTTTGCTGACCTCATACCATTTTTTGGCTGAGACATACGTGACAAAGTAAGATCGACTTTTGTTACCTCTGGCTCGCGCCGTTACAGTGCTACATCGAAGAAGGAAAGCTAAGTAGAGGCCCCTCAATGCAAGCTGCAGGGCGAAAAATGTGGCGGAAGTCACGTGCTTTTGCAGGGAGGTTGTTGAAATAAATGGACATGCCGGCGTCTCATGTAGTCTGCATCACCACTCGTATGACCGCGTTGTTGATAACCGACAGGAGTTCTGAATGTGCATTTTACAGCGTGAGCTGTTATGAGATCAGAACATGAGTTACGTGCGGCGGCGTATTCGTCCGCTGCTGCCACCGCCGGTGTCCGTAACTAGTACCGCAAGAAATAATAAAAAAAAATCACAGCATATCCACGGAGTGCGTGCTGATGAGTGGGGCGAAGCATCCGTCAGTCCGTCTGCGCTGCCGTTCGTCCGGCGAAGCAATGAACGTGATAGCACTAAGTTGGAAGGTCACGCGCGATTGCTAGGCAGATCGAAACGTGCCTCTCATATCTCACGCACAAATTACGCACGAAACGTACTCACAGCTACAGATGAATGCGAATAAGTGTCTCAGTTGTTACTTCGCTCTGTCGGAAAAGCGCGCCCCTTTTTTGCAAACGGAGACTGTGCAACGATTTCAGTGACCTTTGTGCGTCCGGGAACTATAACAGAATCGTTCCGGTGAAAGGTGAAGGCCAGCCAAGACGTACGGTCTTAAGCGTCCACACCCCTCCTTTCCAGGGGCAAAGTACGCGTGGGAGATGAGAACGCGCGTGGCACTTCGTAACGATGTGGCGACGCGCGCTTATTGCGCCATCTTGCTGGTAATGCTTAAAACATGATGGTCCCCCTCCCCAAGAGGCCCGTAACCAGCGGTAAGTAGTAGTTATAACTAGCTAGCAGTTTCAGCGTTGAAGGACGTGCTCCTCCGTGGCTCAGTGGTTAACGCCCTCACTCACGATTCAGAGGTCCCACGTTCGAATCTGCGCGCCGTAGTCTTTTTTGTGGATTTATTTTTGTTTCTTGCGTTTTCGTATATATATATATATATATATATATATATATATATATATATACACACACATTCGGTGAGTGACGGTGAGGCCGACGTCGATGCCGACGCCGGCAGCAAAATCCAGCCGAGAGGGTCCATATAATTGCTATCGTAAGAAGGTTCTTACACAATTCTTAGCAAGTGTGTAGCAGATAACACGTTTCTCCGAATAATGACAAAAGATAATATAGTGAATGCTGGCCTAATAGACAAAAATTATGATTATTTATTGCGTAGTAGGTATTCAGCAACTGCGCTTGCAGTAGTTACCCAAAGAGTGTTTAGAAAAAACTCTGAAAGGCCGCTCTTTGAGCTTTCGCTGTGACTGCGCTGCGCTTTCCGCGTAGGCCTGTCGTTCTTTTTTTTTTTTTTTTGATGCAGCTGTCGCGTTTCAAAGATGATGCATTGTGTCAGAAACCTACAGTGAGAGTTGGTCTTCACGGTTTCGAGTTCATTTGATGTGGTTTGAGGGCGAAAGTGGTCGTTTTCGAAGCTGGTGCCACGTCTCCGAAAACGGTTGGCGCCGCAGCTTCCCTGTTTTCCTTCGGCACTGTGTTGTTGCCTGCCTCAGCGAAGGAAGCTGAGAATTTCTAGACGAGAACGGTAGCGTATACGACTCTTAATGCGAGAGGCGGTGGTGAGTAGTTTTCGTGTACGACGGTTGCAACTATAGGAAAGGAGTCCCACTGTTATCACCAGAGCTTAATGAATCAAGAATCAGACTTGCCTGACTCTGTAAAGTGATTTATTGTTTGAGTTAAAGTTATTGCCTTTCGTTCGCGTTTAGAGCGCGGTAACCTCACCTTTGGCCGCCTTTTTTTTTTAAATATTGTTGCAGTCGGTCGATCCGCACGCTGGTGCGAACGATACTCGTGCGCACGTGTCGATACAAATGGTAGAGAATGATTCGGAGATGCTTCATCTAGCTAAATAGCAACACAAATGAAATAGAATTGCACTGTTACATTATGTTCTGTACCACGAACTTGCCGCATCTGCAGAAGAAAACAGCCTGTCGTCGAGATGATCCAGTCGATTCACGCCGTTACTTTTGCATTCAGTAGATTAAAAATGGAGTGCGAAGCCTCAAGTGTAATGTAGGTTCACGGTATGAGCCGTAATGATGCTACAAATAGCACACAGGCACTTCACAAGCGAGTATCGCGGCACGTATGCTCAAGAGCAGCACAAAACGTTCGATTTTCCAGTTCGTCTATCAGGTGGCGGCGGTAATGCCGCCCGACAAGTCCGAAATGCGCTCGTGCGGCTCGCCTCCCTCTCGCTGGCGCCCGTTGCGCATGCGCGAGCTGCCGTAGCTTGCCCAACATTGCCAGGGAGAGTTTGCTACTCTTCCCTACTTCCAGCTTCACAAAATAATACGTAACGGCTTCTCGTCGGTATATTGCTTCTTTCATGCACTGCTAAGATATTTGGTGCGATTGTCGTCTAGCTAGACACTTGAAGACTTAGACAAAGTCTGACTCAATGTCGTTGGTTTCAGTCAGATCTGGAGAAGTGGGAAAGCATGCACTGTGCTAACAGGCCTTCTTCCACGGGGTCTTCCTTCAGAAGCGAGAATATAGCATCTTGCTTCTAATACACAAACCTATTGCGGGCAACGTTAAGAAAATTATACACTGGTGATGAAGGCGTGGTATACTTCGCGATAAATTTAGAGAGGTATCAAGGAATAGTATAGCAAGAGATCGCTTCAACGTTCTGCCAAGGTGTTTCCAGTTCTAAGAGGATGTGGAATTAGCAATACAAAAGACGCGAACCCAACACACCATAAGAAATGTCAGCTTCATTGTCAATGTTAGGAAGCAAGACGGAAAACAAGCAAGAATGACGTCAAATATTTAGGTGCGTGTTGAAGAACCCCAGGTGGTCGAAATTTCCGGAGTCCTGCATTACGGTGGAGGTTTTTGGACGTTAAACCCCACATATCAATCAACCAAATCAATCATGAATATGCCAGTGGCAGTGGAGAGACGTTAGCGAAATTCGCAGGAAGGAATGAAATCCGTACAATGAGCACTGTCCAGAGAAGGCACAGAAATAGAAAAAATAAACACGGAGAAACAAACACTGAAATTGATGTCGTAATGCGCGAATATCCAAGCTTATTTCTGTACATAGAAGCGATAGGTGAATGTAACTGTAGTGATCACTCAATCCGCTCATGTGCAGATTGAGATCAGAAATGAAACGGAACTTGCGAAGCTGCTCAGGAATGACGATAGTTATAGCGCGATAACAAAAACGACGACACAGAGACAAGAAAGACACGAAAGACACCTTCTTGTCTCGATGTCGTCGTTTTGTTCTCGCGCTATAACTATCGTCATGCCATACAAACTAGCCCAAGCTGCCACACTTCTGCTCAGGAAGTTTTATGAAGGCCAAAGCACCAAGTGAAAACTAATGTTCATAGTACCTAAATGGACACTAAAGCACCAAGACAAAAGTAAGCAAGCTCTCTTAAACGATTATACACATACCGCAATGCTGAAGGTATACCTATTTCCAGAATTTAAACAGAACTTGCTTATGCTTAAAAAAACGGAGTAACTAAGGAACTATAATGTTGAAGCAACTGATTCAACATTTAAAAAAGGTAGCAGCATCACGGAGGTCAAAGACTACTCACGGTACGGACCAAATTCATGCAGTAAAAGATTGACGGGGCAATCTTATTAGTGATTTTAATGACATAGTGTGCCTGGTAGTGGACGGGTC